TTTTTTTTTTTTTTTTTTTTGAGGAATGTATACTTAGTATGGATGTTTTATGGTAGAAAGACTGTTTTATATTTTTACATTTCTTCTCTGTTTTGAACATAACTGGAAATATATGCAATGATGTTAAATGATAATTATAGCTAATTTTTTTTGAGTTATTGCTTTGTGCCAGGCAATGTGCTTGCAATATATTATATTATTTAATCCTCATAATACACTGTAACATTGGTATTATGGTAAACCACGTTTTATGTAAAATGGAACTAAACCCAAAAAGGTTAAAAAATAAACCAGTTATATATTTAGTAACAGATAAAGATAATTTCTGAGGAAGTATCTGCCACTTGCCTATCAATGTCTTTTCAGATAAATAAATAGAACACAGTGAAAATTCAGTGTTTGCAAGCCAGAATTAATAGTGTATTTTCTTTGTTGTTTATAGAAGTACCTATTAAAGAGACTTAATTTAATATGGAATATTTATTCAACTATAATTCGTGAAAATGTGTTGGCATTACAAGATGACTACTTAGCTCTGTAAGTATGTTTTCAGAAGTGATAATTGAATAAAACGCATTCATATTAATAGGCTTCCAGAAGTAATAAAATAAAACCTTCATACCTATTATTCATTGAGATATTTTATATGCTATTATTATTTGAGAACAATAGCTCAGAGGTTGGTGGGCTACATGTATTCTAACAGAAAATAGTCGTTTTAGATCTTAATTTACCTGCAAAGCATGTGCATGTACACATAGGAACTTACAGCTCTATGTTCTCAAAGCCTAGACTACTGATTGAAATTATAAATGTTTCCTACCATTAGTGAAGGTGTGCTAAGCAAAACTAGCCTATACCAGTGAGTTGAAGGGCATGGGGAAGCCACAGGGGAAAAGGTCCCCTCTGTATATTATTGTTAACATAAATTCAGTCATTATGCAGATAAGATGAGGTAGGTGGACAGTGATATAGATCAGTCACTGTGTGTGAGCACAGGTTAGTATCACAAATGACTTTTATATTACCAGTTTGGTGAGGAGAGTAAGCACATTGTCATGGTGGTCTAGGAAGGAGGCAAGAGACAAAATGGGGTGGTAGTATTTCCGTCTTCCTTGTGTCCTAAGTTTTGTGCATAGGATGGTCTCTAGATTTAGGGAGGGACTCTGTAGCCAGTAACAGGATAGGGATTATACCTACAACTTCTGGCCAACATCAAGTTCAAATCAATTAGACCAAGCAAGAAATACAAAATATACAAAGTATGATTATTCTGACTCAATAGTACTATTCTGGGAGGGTAGAAATTTTAGTGCTAAGGGATGTGACTGGAAGGACATAAAATGTAATGGATGAGTAGGTGGACAATGGTAAGGAATAGCTGGGATCGAGAGTGGCTAGGCAATTTGTATGAATGAATGGGAAGGCAAAAGTGTGCTCAATCAGGCAGCATATTTGTTAACCAGACATATCCTTGGCTCTCCTAAATTGGACTGAACCAGCCTACTCTTTATAGCATCCCAGGGACAGTTCTCTTCAGAGCAGCTCTAGGGAGTTCGACTGCACTTCCACAGAACTCCAGCTTGTTGTTACCAGCTTTAGATTAGGATGGGTGAGGAGAGGGAGTGAGTAGAGTACGTAAATGAATACCTAGAACTGTCTCTCAGAGGACCTCCACCCTTACACATTCCTCTTCAGCTTATCAGAAGGTCAGGCCAGGCTGGGTTGAAACTGGAAGATGGAGTAACAGAGATTTGGCGCTTGCATTTTCTGGAAACCTATGGCCAATTTGGGTTTCTTTACCCTGACCCCAAACTGTAGTAGGGACCACAAGGCATCACTTACCTGGATTTATTATTGGTCTTCACTCTATTCTTTTGAACTTATTTTGTTTTAAAGTACAGTGTATACCCCTGCTCAGCTGTAAAAACAAACCAAACCAACCAAATACCTTTATTCTTCTTCTGAACATGTATATAACAGCCAGGAGGAGTAGAAGAAACACACTAAAGCAAGAGAAAGCAAATTGTAGAAGGGGAGAAATGAACTCTTCCCTTTCCCTTTCTTGTATAGAGAAAGAACTTTATTTTAAAGTCTATTAGATCAGATACTCTAAAATCATTTTTTATCCATAAGGCAATTCTAGTAAAAGAGAGGAAAAATAAATTGACAACAGCTGTGGAGTGTGTGTACACCCATGTGTGTTTGAGGGAGATGAAGGATGGCAGTAATTTGTTTCTCACTTTCAAAAAATACTGGTCTTAGGAGCTTTTTTTGGTGCCTAGGAGCCTCTCAGTAAATATTTCTCTGAATCTTAAATATCTCTGTCATCCACAAAAGCAATTTTTTTAAACAAACCCAATGTCATTGAAAGGATATTTAAAAATACCCATCTTTTTATGAAACACACATTTTTGGAAGCAGAGAAAATGAAGGTGGTAATGCAAAATAAACTGTTTTTCTTTGACTTTTTCTTCAAGAATATCACTGGGAAAACTTTTTGGAACTGCGTGTTGGTTGGGCCTTGAAGACTGCCTTCAGCTGTCAAAAGAACTCTTCACTAAATGGGTGGACCATCCAGAAAATGAGTAAGAGTAATATTGTAATTCCTCTTGTTTTTGTCCTATTTAAGCACCAGCAATTTCCCTTTTTGATGTACTCACTGTGGGAATGAGTGTTTTGCTTTCACTTGGTTAGGCGCTCTCTCCTACTATTCTTTTCAAATACCTTTTTAAAAAACCCAGTGTTTAATGTGGGTCTGTGTATAACAATAGACTAGAATTTATACAATGAATTGTCACCTAGGACCTTTCACTGCCAATGCATTCTTCCAATAAGCACTTATTTGGAGCTGTCTCTGCTTGATTTGAGTCTTAACAGGTTGTTCTTTATGATTGTTTGTGATTGTTATATCTATGAGTGCAGCAGAGCACCTCCCTCTCCATCTCTCTCTTAGTTTGTTGCCTCACTGAGCGCTGAGACTCTCATTTTGGTTTTATTACCTTTAATATACCACCTCAGATGGACTCTTAGGAAATGTGATAATGAGATATGAGATACAAGACCAACTTGTATTATCAATATACTCTATACTATTCTAATTTCCTTCTTTCTTAAAGCCCCTTAGTTTGGAATTGATGATCTCTTCTCATGGAATTAATGCTAATGACAGTTCTGACAATTGCCTCTCTAGATTCCTACTTTTGACCTTTATATCTGTGACTACAAATATTTTTTCTAGATTCATACTCTAAAATTTGATAACCTGGGGAAACAAAACTACTATGAAAAATATCATTTTATGTTATATTTTACAGAATACCTTATCCAATTAAAGATGTGGTTTTATGTTATGGCATTGCCTTGGGAAGTGATAAAGAGTGGGACATCTTGTTAAATACTTACACTAATACAACAAAGGAAGAAGAAAAGATTCAACTTGCTTATGCAATGAGCTGCAGCAAAGAGCCATGGATACTTAACAGGTGATTATGCTCAACTTACCTTGAAATTTCCTGGTAATGGAAAAAAATAGAAATGTGCTAATGTAAATATTAAAACGATGCATATTTGTGCTGCACGATCTTAGAACCATGCGATTTTGATTTCGTTTATTTAAATTAACTCTTTAGGTTGGATGTTTAACATGTATTTTTTGCAAATGCACTTTTGCAGATTTATGGAGTATGCCATCAGCACATCTCCATTCACTTCTAATGAAACAAATGTAATTGAGATTGTGGCAGCATCTGAAGTTGGCCGGTATGTCGCAAAAGACTTCTTAGTCGACAACTGGCAAGCTGTGAGTAAAAGGTAAGAAGGAGAGTGAGACCTTTCTTTCATTTAGGTCACTGGTTTGGTGCTGGAAGCTCAGCTGTAGTCTAGCTAGGTCACAAAAGTCCTTTGCATTGACTAGAAAAGTGATCATTTTTCCTTCGTTTAGTCTCACTACAAACTGCCTGTGTTATGGAAGAGCAATGCATGAACTTTTAACTATGGCTTGAATATTTTTATCTTTTAGTTGACAACATGCCATACTCATAAAATAGATGCCTATGCTACTTCTGATAAATTTGCCTTAGTTCACTTTTCTTGCACATTCTGCACAAAAAGTGTTTCAGACTCAAATTGATTTGCTGTCTACATCTTATGCATTTGTTTTTAGGGCTTAGTTTATAGTCAGCAGTTTTGCTCAATTTTGCTAATACTTTTGTTTGAATAGACAGTAACATTATTTATGGATTGTAAGGAGGAAATAAAAGTTCAACTTAATAATTAAAATTTTATTTATAGTCAAAATGGCACAGGAACATTTACTTAGTTCTTTGTACATCTGAATATTTAATTATCACTAATTAAACAGATATATTTGACATGATAATATGTATGTCACTAGTCCTAATGTAATGATGAAGGTAGTATAAAATTATAAGTAAAAATGCTTATGCCAGATGAAATTTTATATTAATGATATGGAAAGTATCTATACTGAATTTGTTAAAATGTGACTGATCACTAACAAGTTAGCAATTAGTTTTTCTCACGCATATTCCACTGGATGCTATTCATGAAGATGGGGATGATAAGCCTTCTGGGACAGACGGAGACAATAGCTCCATCAGTTTTGAAACTGTTTTAACCCTCACTTTTGCAGACTCACAGTGCATTTTAGCATTATAAAGTATCCAAGAAGCCCTGCAGAAGGAAACTTAGAGTTTTCCATACAGTTTGACTACACAACATCTTCTAGGTGTAGTTCTTCCAAACTCCAGCTTGGGATATGCTGATGTAAACAAAACGTCATTTTGCCAGTAGACCAGTTGTTCCAGAAGAAAGACAGATGGGAGAAACAAAATTTTCCAACCCTCTCATTTGGTTCTGAAACTTAAAAAAACCCATTAGTTAACATTTAGGCCTTGTTTTCTTCTTCTATAGAATAATAGATGTATTTGATAAATGTAAGATTCTTTCTAGTAATAAAAAGTTTTAGTTTTTCTACATCAAGATGCAGTTCAAATTGTTATTGGAGATGTAAAGGGATTAGGACTTAGTATCTGATAAATGCTGTAGAGGAGAGATGACAAGGGCTTTTGGGGATTTAAGGGGAAGAAAGGGATGTGCATGTGATTTGAACAAGCATAGTTGCAAATCTCCTCCTTCTTCCTGGAGGACAGAACATCAGGAAATGCCTGGAGGCAGAGCTGGGAGGCCAACTTGGGACTAGTCACAGTAACTGGCAGGAGCTTAGTGCACTGGAGAGGAGATGGGGTGGGAAGGTAAGTTGAGGGTCAGAGAGAAGGATGGGTGATAACAGGCCCTGAATATCATGTGAAGGAGTTTTATTTTGTGTGCTCTTCATTGGTGATGTCCTGTTTCTAACTGGTGTCGTATGTGAAACACACACACAGGCTGTCCTGATTATGACAGTGTGTTAACACTATTGGGGGTCAGTTCTAGAACTGGGGGATGGAGATAGACTTAACTAGAGCAGTATAGCAAAGTGGTGGTTTCTTCCTCTAAGAACTATGGAAAGTGTCTCTTCATTACTGTCCTTTGTCCTTTTATTTATTGTGCTTTAGTTTTTCATGTATCCACTAGAGACATGGTATGTCAAAGAGTTAAGGCAATAGAATCTAGAATCAGATCAATCATAGGATAAGGAGAGTGCTAAATATGTAACCTTAAACAAGATTTTTAACCTAAGCTTCAGCTTTCTCATTCATAAAATGAGGATAATAATGAATAGGCTTTAAGATAATTTAATAATGTGCTATTTAAGGTGATTGGTACACAATAAATGTTTAATGTTCATTATTATTATCTTAGTGAGATAATATGATGTATGTGCTTTATTACAAGTCCCTATATCCTTCACTTTATTTCTTTTTCTCAATATTATCAATTTCTATTTTTATGTTATTGATAACATCCCTCAGCAGTATTAGAGTCTCATGTTTAGAATGAAAAACACACATTGATGTTGTTCTTTAAAATAATATGTTTAGTCTGGGCACGGTGGCTCATGCCTATAATCCCAGCACTTTGGGAGGCCAAGGCAGGAGGATCACTATAGCCCAGGAGTTTGAGAACAGGCTGGGCAACATAGCAAGACTCTATTTCTACCAAAAAATTAAAAAACAAAATAATGTGTTTATATATGCAATAATTACAGTTTTCACAGCCACCCATAAAATAATTACCAATTAATAACCAAGACTCAGAAGTTAAATCACTTAAAGTCAATACCTAGTAAATAAAAAAACTTGAATTAGAAAGCGTGTCCCCTGGCTCTGATTCCCGGCTCTCTATTTACTTCCTCCTAAGTAAGAAAATGCGTACTTCATAATTTTTTTTTTTTGAGAGTACTACTGAAAATATTTAATCTTTCAATGTGTTCTTAACTAATGCCTCATCTACATTTTCAGTGGCTCACGCCTATCATAATCCCAGCACTTTGGGAGGCCAAGGCAGGCAGATCACCTGAGGTCGGGAGTTCATGACCAGCCTGACCAACAGGGAGAAACACCGTCTTTACTAAAAATACGAAAGTAGCCAGGCATGGTGGCACATGCCTGCAATCCCAGCTACTCGGAAAGCCGAGACAGGAGAATCGCTTGAACCCGGGAGGCAGAGGTTACAGTGAGCCAAGATCAACCCCTTGCCCTCCAGCCTGAGTAGGCAACAAGAACAAAATTCTATTTTTTTTTAAAGATATGCTATATCCTTTAAACATTTTGAGATGCCAAGATTTGTTCAAATAATTTAAATTTGTTTTACTTAGAAAGTCCTTCTCATGATGTGATTTATTTATCTCAATTCCAGAAAATGTTTAAATAAATGAAGTGGCTTTTCAGTAGATTTTTAAAAAATTAATAAACTTAATTTTTTAGGATAGTTTTAAGTTCACAGCAAAATTGAGCAGACAGAGTTCCCATATATCCCTGTCAGCACACAGGCACAAGCTCCCCCTCTATCAACATCCTGCATCAAAGCCACACATTTACAGTCACATGTTGATTAACAACAGAAATACATTCTGAGAAATGCATCCTTAGATGATTTAGTCTTTGTGTGAACAGCATAGACTGTACTTACACAAACCTAGATGGTAGAGCCTACCACACACCTGGGTTCTATGGTATAGTCTATTGCTCCTAGTTTACAAACCTGTACAGCATGTTACTGAATACTGGAAGCAGTAGTAACACAACTGTAAGTATTTGTGGTTTTTTTGTTTGTTTGTTTGTTTGTTTTTTGAGAGGGAGTCTCGCCCTGTCGCCCAGGCTGGAATATAGTGGCGCCATCTCGGCTCACTGCAAGTTCCGCCTCGTGGGTTCACACCATTCTCCTGCCTCAGCCTCCCGAGTAGCTGGGACTACAGGCGCCTGCCACCACGTCTGGCTAATTTTTTTGTCTTTTTTAGTAGAGACAGGGTTTCACTGTGTTAGCCAGGATGGTCTTGATCTCCTGACCTCGTGATCCACCCGCCTCGGCCTCCCAAAGTGCTGGGATTACAGGCGTGAGCCACCACGCCCAGCCAGTATTTGTGTATTTAAACATATCTAAACATAGAAAAGGTAATGCATTGTGCTACAATGTTACAATGACTATGACATTGCTAGGGGATAAGAATTTTTCGGCTCCTTTTTAATGTTGTCCATTGTTGACTGAAACATTGTTATGTGGCTCATAGCTGTACTATAATTGATTAACATAAACAGGCACATCATTATCACCCAAAGTCCCTAGTTTACATTAGGGTTTACTCTTGGTGTTGCACATTCTATGGGTGTTGATGTATTAATGTATAATGATGCATATTCACCATTGTAGCATCATACGGAATACTTTCACTACCCTAAAAATCCTCTGTGCTGTGCATATTCATCCTTCCCTCTGCCCATAGTCAGTTGCTTTTTTATGAAAAAGTTTGAATAATCTACTCCTTATTCCAGAAGTTTTCATTTTATTTTTGTTTTTGCTTTTTAATGTGTTGAGCTTTTGGTTGCTGGTTTGGTCTTGGCTGTGGGAGCTAGAATCAGGGGGAGTACGAGCAGAGCGGCTTTGCACCCCTCCCATAAGGTGGTATCTTGCTGGGATCTTATGCTCCATTTCTACAGGGTGAGAGACAGGCTGGCAGAGGCAGCTTGCCTAAATGCAAAAACAAAAAAATACCATCTTATGTCCAGCTTGGCCCTAAGCATGAAGTGACCAGTGCTGTGGTTTTGAGTATATCCCTCCCTTATCTCAGAGCACTGATGGGCATATGTCTCACAGTGACATGCAGGCAAGCTCACAGACATCGTCTCCACACCAAGGCACATGTTGGAGTTGAGTATATCGCCAATAGTGGCGCAGGAACTGCTGTTCCTTTCAGCCAGGCCCAGAATTCTTCCCAGGAAGCCTAATCTGGAAATACATTTTGGAATATTTGATTGAATAAAACAACTTTTGGCTTGGTCTTGCCCCTCACTGTCATGTACAGGGCATTGCACTGGTTGGTGTCGGAAAATTTAGTTAATTATTGGGCCAAAGATGATCTCTTGAATACTCATTCCAATGAGAAAGACTCCATTGGTCATGGAGCTATATTTCAAGTTACAGAAAAGTCAGTAGGTACACATAGCTATGAATAGGTCCTATGGAAGCATATGAATAGAGATGAAGCAATAGTATTTTTGGGACTTTTCAATGGATGTGGTAGAAGCATTATTTGTGCCATTATTATCTCTGTTAAATGGGCTTCACAGCATACAGAAAAGCCAGTTTTATCTCAATATAGAATACAGAGTATGATCAGTTTTAAACTCATCCTGTCCAAAATGAATCTTACCCTCTTATTAAGCACTTGATTTTTTTCTCCACATGTTATTATATTGCTTAAAGTCTTAAGCTTAAGAACATGGAATCATTTTCACTTCTAGTTGGTTGTATTTCATGATGGGGAACACAGCCGAAAAGGCTAAACAGGAGCACAAGCAAAGTGAGAGGTTATCAGAGTGGAGGGTCCAAGCACTGGGGAGTCTGTTCCCACGGCATGGATCAGGCTGGATGCCTTGGTGTCCCCATGCTTGCCGTGTGGCCATCCTTGCCAGAAGGAATCTGACATGGCAGGGGAGATGAAGGGAGGGGTAATGTGAGAAGAGGGAGGGGCAGAAAGGAGAGCCAGACTGGAGTACTGAAATCACTGTTCCCACACTAATGTTAGATGTTATCAACTTTTTAAAAAGGATTACTATATTGACTCATATTGGCTTTTGACTTCATATTAATTAGAATGTATTTGAACACTGATGGGGGTAAACTATTTGTAATGCAGTTTTGTTGAGTAATATTTGAAAGAGATTGCCCTCTCAACAAGTATGATAAATCATCTGTTTCAAAAATAGCCCCTCTTGAAGTTGACAAGAGCAGGAAGGAATGAAGTGTGCCAGGTAATCTAATAGGTGCTTCCATATACATTATCTCATTTACGCTCCAGAACAATGCTTCTAAGTATCTGTTATTCTCCATTTTTACAATTTATAAATTTTCCAAGGTAATGTCAAACCCAGCCCTGCCTCCTCAGGTACCTTTCTCCTGTGTCTGGCAGAAATTAACACATTTAGCACCATAGGTAGATTTCCTCTGTTTTCTATTTTTATTTTTAAGGTTGGAATTTGAGTTCTTTGGAACTCAAGTTTCTTGAGTCATTTTATAGGTTTTTTCTGCCTAGTTGGCCAATTAAAATAGAGAACTAAGAAATGTTTACTCTTTCTTCATAAAAACAGTTTCGCTTGCCTCAATTATATGCAGAGTTCTATTGTCCTTCACGTTGCTCAGGTAGACACAGCGTAAGTTACAGCTAGGAACTTAGAAAAACAGCAGCACTATTTTCTCTCACCTTTATTAGTATATTATGCCAAAGTTAACTCTTATAATTTTTAATTTCAAGTACATATTTTTGAAGTAAATCAATTGTGTATATTAACTATTCAACCATCTCTTGGTCAGTCCATTATAATAACCCTATTTTAATTTTTCTTTCTTTTTTAATGCACCCAAAAGTCTTTTATTTACTTTTTTAACTACAGCCACACTTTGAGCAGGTAAGTATCTGCTGTTTTTTCATAGCAATACTTCACAGTTATTTTAAGATTTTTTTTGCTAGATATTCAGGGACACTAAACTAGAGGGAAAGTTTCCATTATCACACCTATTGAAACAAGCACAGGTAGGGCCATGGTGCTCAGCCTTCAGGGTCACCAACATTTAGAGAACATCGGAAGACACGGATCTTCTCTCCAAAAAAGCACGCACCGAAACAACATTTTAAATACACGTTCAGGGGGCTTTAGTCAGCAGTTCTGAAATGGATCCTCTATTAACTACTGTTTTTTACGGGACACAATTTATATATTTATTTATTCCTTTAGAAATTGTATTGAGACATGTGACATGTATTCCAGCTACCTCATTTTAATAGATAATGGTTGTTTTTAAGAAGAACTTTTTAGATTTAGATAACAGATTTGTGTAACACATATAAGTATTTAACTATCAATATTTCCTTAGTGTTAACAGGATTTTCTATTGAAAGATGAAACTAAACTAGTTCATACATGTTTTTACTTAGATTTGGGACATAGGAATTAATAGGGGCCGTACACTTGGCATTCATCTGCTGTAAAAAATATAGCTTTATTTTGCAAAATGCTTTCCACCCTTGATTAACATCTTATTGCCTTGTAGGTATGGCACACAATCGTTGATCAATCTAATATATGCAATAGGGAGAGCCATAACTACAGATTTACAGATTGTGGAGGTAAGCACTTTAAATATTATGAAATACAATGATAATTTGGAAACCACTTTTTATGCAATTTGGACTTGTTAAAATTAAAAATAATAATATGCTTATCTGAATTATTACAGTCTATGCTTCTGTTGCTGCTGTATCACTGTGAAGAAGTGTTTTTAATTGTATCCTCCTCCTGAAATAGAGATCACCTGTTCATGGAGGGTGGCACTTCATCCTTTCTCACCTGAATGCAGGGGACTCTCGCCCAGGGTTCCTGTCCCAGATTGGGCTTCCTTCTATCCCACCTTTGCCATCACTGCCAGTCATTGCTGTGTTCCAGAGCCTCAGTAGCTTTTCATAGTTTTTCAAAGAAATTTTGAAATCCTGTGATTAGCATGAGGCCCTTCATGATCTGGCCCCTACATTACAGTTTGGCTTCATTTTTGCTCACCTCACCACCAAGTGTCAGAGGGCAAGAGAGATGGACAGACACCCCTAAACACATTTCCTCTAGCTATACTGTACCACTTACAAATTTTCTTGAATTATTGTATAGCTTCACATTTTCGGGATTTCAGAAACACTCTACTTTTTGTCTAGAGAACATTCCTCATCCCAGTTCCTGGCTGGATAATTCCTAATCATCTTTTAAGATTCTGCTCCTATTATCTATCCTGGGAACTTTTTAATGAAGGATTTATACCCTTTCCTCACCTATACTTTCAAGTAATCCTACGAATATATTTTTACCATAGTGCTTATTACCTTATAGTGTAATCACTGGTAAATATGTCTACCCCATGAGGCTACAATAAGTTCCCTGAGGACAGAGATGATATCTTAGTTTTGTCTGTTCTAGATTCTTACCATTTCCTGGCTTTGCTTTCCTCTAGGCTGAATTTTTATTAGGCAGTCTTTTTCCATGTGGAGAGAAGCATAGCTCCCTGCTTATATAATCCTCAGCACTGCCAGCTGCAGAAGGAAGGATACTTTCTCACAGCTTCAAGAGTTCCTGCCCTGAAAAAAGCACTTTGGTTGGTCCTACTTGGGTCAGAGGCAGCAATCACTGTGTCCAGGGGAGATGGAATACTCTGATTGGTCTAGCCAGGGTCGAACAGTCCCACCCAAGTCACAGGCACTGGGAAGGGGAAGGGGAAGTTCTGAAAGGACAAAGGGCTGTAACCAGAAAGTAAACAAAGCGGACAAAAGCAAATGTCTACAAAAAGATACTTTCACACAAAGTAAAACAAGGATACAATATAAATACAACCTGTACACACCCAGTAGCGTAGGTAAAATTAGACAGATTTATGGTACCAAATGGTGGCAAAGATATGGAGCAACTGGAACTCTTTTATCCTGCTGGGAGGAATGTAACATGGCACAACCATGTCAGGAAACAGGCAGTTTTTTTAAATGTTTACTGGAAACCATCTAAATGCCCATCCATAGGTAAATGAATAAGGAAAAGTAATATACCCACACAATGGAATACTATCCTGAAATTTTTAAAATTTGTGTAGCAACATGGGTGAATATCAAGGTGATTATGTTTGGTAAAAGAAACCAGTCACATTCTGGGTAATGCAAATGGATCTATAGTGACAAAGGGCAGATCGGTGGTTGCCTGGGACAGAGAGAGATGGACTGCAAGAGGGCCTGAGGACCCTTTCTCAGGGTAGAGGAAATGTACTTGATTGTGTCTATGGTTTCAAAGGGGTACACATTGGTCAAAATTCACTGACTTGTACAGTTTAAGTATATCTAGTTTATTGTACATAAATTAAATCCCAATAAAATTGATTAAAATTAAACACCAGGGCCTGAAACTATGTTAATAAGAACAAGAAGAGCCTTTGTGAATAAAGGTAAATCAACTCTCCCTAAGCAAATAAACAAATACATGTATAGGTCATAAAGGCCTGAACTTTGATCCTAAACAAAAAAAAAAGGACAAGTAGAAGTCATATAATTGTTATCATGAGAGAAGCAGAACTGCTAATTCCCAAAGAAATTATCTTTTTTTGAGTTTTGGCCTGCCTCAGGCTGAGCTGTCAGGACCTGATTTATCAGGGATTCCCTGGACAAGGGAAAGAAAAGCACATTACACCCAGAACATGCTGATACAAAAGCTCCGCCAATCAAGATTCAGTGTGTGTTTTTATCTTCTAAAATTCGTTAGTTCAGTCTTTGCCTCTACAGAATCTAGTGAAGTTTTGTTGTTGTTAATGAATAATAAATGAGGTTCGTATAAATTTAGCAATCTTCAAAATTTCAAAATTCTAGTCACTGACAGCTTTTCAAAATTGGAAAAATGGATTTAGCAGTAGTTAAATTGTTGCAATTTAAAAAAATAAATGAATGAGCTAAGATGAATATCCTTGCCAACAACTATTAATGTCCAGCAGTCCTGCTACGCTGCATCAGTTCACAGGGTAATATCTAAAATAAATAATAAAAAAGAAAGTGAAAATGAAATCATTTGCCTCTCTTGTCCCTCTCCAAAGGCACAATTTTCAAACACCTTCCGCATCTCTGGCTCTGGTTTTTATGTTCCCCTGCTAGACATACTCTCAAGCACACATAAAGCCCACCTACAAGCCCAAACACCATCGTCACTCCCCTCCCACCACTACAGGAGCCCAATCCTGGGCACCCTGTCCGTGATGTGGAGTTGTGGGCTGTTGGTTACCACCTCCTGGCAGGTGTGAGCAGGGAAGGAAAGAGTGGAGGAGGATTGTTCCTGGCTCTTTAACTTACTTTTCCCTAAAACATTTCTTTTACATTGTAATTAGGCTTGATAGCCCTATTACTATGCAATTTTGAGTATATTAGGGTTGAAGTGAGCTGTTGTGAACTGGAATGCGCATCTTCATCTTACGGCTGTAAGTGTTTGGAGTTCTAATCCACTGACACAAAAAGAGACTTTTGGTAAAATGAAAATTGAAAAAACTTATAACTTATTTATATTTTGGAATATAACTTATTATTCACTTGGAGTCTGACTTATACGTAATATTACAACAAATGTTCTGATAACTGAATGCTTGACCTGACCCAATGAGGTAATTCAGCCAATGGACGAATTCATTATCTAAGTGTTCTCAAATAAAGAATGACAGTTGTAAAGATGCAACTATTATGTACCAATTTTGAGCTTTGGAAGTTTCAGTTTCTTTTGAGATTTAAAAAAAGTGAGGGGGTTCACTGTATCTCTGTCTGCAAATCTTAGAGAACACTCTATTTGCCTTCAGTAAATATTCATTGAGACTTAATATATGCTTTGGGAATAGAGCAATGAATAAGGTATAGTTTCTGCTTCATGGACCTTCCTGTCTACATCTGCTTCTTTGGGGTAGGTGTGGTGTTCATCACATTGTCTCAGTCACAGTCTCCCCAGGGACACACAATCTGGGAGTATACATTTCTACTCATTCCAACCATCATCACCAATTTACAAAATCATGTTGCTGCTTAGCATTTAGATATTTGTTTTGTCCAAATGGGAAGTTAGATTGCACTGATCATCTGTCTCTCTGTCCTTCCAGCTGCAGCAGTTTTTCAGTAACATGTTGGAGGAACACTCGAGGATCAGCGTTCATGCCAAATTACAGACAATAAAGAATGAAAATCTGAAAAACAAGAAGCAAAGTGCCAGGATGGCTGCATGGCTAAGGAGAAACACATAGCTTGTGGCTATCTTTCAGCACTCCTCTTGCCTAATATAATGTAGTTTGCTCACAGTTTTGTCTTCTCATACTTTATGAGTCTGGAAAACCATACATTTTGTTTGTATTTCAGTCACATTTATTACTCAGAGTGCCTTTCTTCTCATATTGTCATGTTTGGCCCTGAGGTTGGGTGATTGCTGACAATTTTGCCAATGCTGCTGTATTTCTGGGAAAGATGTCACTTTACGTTGGGCTGTAATCCCACAGAATTCACTTTAAATGTTGTGTAAAAACAAATTAAGCTAAGAAAGTCTTGCTTATTTTGTTGTTAAGGCCAGTGGAATATAAAATCATTGGCATTAATGAATAGCACATTCTTTGCTGAGGGAAATAACAGTTTAGCGAGGCCCGAGGGTTTATTTAGTTCAACATTGAAAATTGAAAAGACTAATGAGAAGATAACATGACAATATGAAAAGACAGAAACTCAAAAAGTATATTCACTAGAAGATAGAAGAGCCAAAGAAAAGCAGTTGAAAAAGAAAGAGGAGACAATTTAACGAGCCCTAAAGGCAAGAAATGTGTCTTCTCCTGCCCATTTCTCTCTTCCACAGTATATCCTGCATTGAATCACGCGTTGCTAGTTACTGAATTTTATGGTGTCACAAAAAGACAAATGATTGTAGGATCCATGGAAGTGCACTTAGGCTTGCTGTGGTGGAGGCCACAGTGGAGATGAAGGCTTTGCTCTGAAGCTCTTGATTGTGTATTCACCAGTGGGATGGACACCCTTTCGGCCTAAGCGTATGAGTGAAAATAATGATGTCAAAAGACAATAGCAAGTATGGGCTACTATTTAGGGCAAAAGGAATCCTGAAATGAAGGAAACAGAACTACAGGCTAACTGGAGCATAATCTTACAGTTTTGCACTCAGGGGATTAAGTTTGAAACATGGTGTCTTTTGGCCAAATTGAACCTACTTGTAATGTGGACTAACTTACTTTACACATTTTGGTCAGTCCCAGTGTATGGAATTAGCTTAGTTTTCTCATGCTTGATTAAAACAAGACAACTAAAGCCAATCATTCCTCTTATAGACTTTGTGTATATGATTTAATCTTTTATTTTATTTTTATTTTTGTAGAATGGAGGTAAAACTACAGATCTCCACCTCAGGGTGATATTTGTAAAGGTTACGGAGTATGACATCAATTGACAGTCTTTAAAGATGTTACATAAGCTCAAAGCAATGTGACCTAAGACGTTTTTCCTATTTCTTGTATAAGTTAAGGCAGCCATAAATGAAAATACGAAACAAAATTTTGCTTTTATATTTGCTTCACAAGAGGGTTCTCCCTGAGTGTCAGGGGGAGGCTGTGGGACTTCACCATGTGGACAAACGAAAGCACAGGTCAGAGAATTTCTTCAAATTTAGAAATGTAAATTTTCAGCAATAAAATATCTGCATGCCTTCAAAGTGTTGTAGGTGAGATACTTTCCTGTTTTTTTTCTTAAACACTCATTCTATATTTCCCATATTTCCTCTGATAATGAATCTCATCTTTCAATAACTTTGTCTTCATGTGTCCTCTCAACTGCTTTTCTCTTCCTCCTCTTCCTCTCTGTCTTCGTGCATTTTGTGCTGCTGTCACAGAATACCTTAGACTGGGTAATTTGTGAAGAACAGAGATATGTTTCTTATCATTATGGAGGCTGGAGATTCCAAGGTCCAGGGGCCTGCATCTCACTAGGGCCTTCTTGCTGTGTCATCCCCCATGGTGGAAGGCAAGAGGGCAAGAGAAAGAAGAGGGAAGAGGACTGAACTCATCCTTTTTATCAAGAACCCTCTCCCAAGACAACTAGCCAACTCCCATGATAAGAGCATTAATCTATTCATGAAGGCAGAACCTTCATGACCTAATCACCTCTTGAAAGTCCCACCTCTCAACATTGCATTGAGGATTAAGTTTCCAACACATGACCTTGGAGGGACACATTCAAACCATACATAGCTCTGTCCTCTATTTTCACTCCCGTTCTTTCTCTCTCGAGCTCCCTCTTCCCTTCTGCCCTCTTTCCCTTTCTCCTCTTTCCAGTGACCTCTGCCTTCCTTCTGCCTGGTTGTTCTTATCCTCACTCCTTGGTCTTTCCACGCAACCATGGTCTCAGTCCACCAAGTGTGCTTTGAGGCTGACACTCAGGGTCAAGAAGGCTCTGATGCCTGGTATTGGGTGATGCCAAGAACTACTGATCTTGCCAAAAGAGCATGTAGGCTGGTCTTTCCAGACAGTTAAAAGTTAAACTGAATCCTATTACATCTTAGTTTCTGTGGTAATTAAATACTGCTGAAGGTGTTTCTCCAAAATCCAATGCCCAAATATTTGATTAATAGTCTTTCCTCTAAATATGAGAAAAAAAAATAGATGATATAACATTTTTACTTACTTGGATGAAGCCGGTTACTTAAGCACTGCATTTTATTATGCTTTACCTTATACAAAGTATAAAAACAAGTAATTGTTGATTGGTTTCTGTGGTAGCAATAATGCAGTAACAGGTCAGGGAGTGGTACTGAGGCTGATTTGTCTGTGTGGCATTAATACTTTATTAACCAATAAAAACTGCTTGTCTATTATCACCCCAACTATAAAATGATTTCCCTGACCCAGTCCATTTATTGTATACCTTTCTTCCTGAAAATAATTAACAATGTATACAATATTGTCATGATTTTTTCCAATTTCATTATTAGAAATTAAATTTTTTCTCACAATCTTATGCCTTTTTTTTTTTTTTTTTTTTCCCAAACCCATTCAGTGACTTGTCATTGTTGACTTTAAATGAAAGAACAAATGCCTTAGTGTGATGTTCAACATCTTTTGTAATTTAGATCTCTGGGACCAATCTGTATAGCAATTTATTCTGGGGGAGGCATGAAGAAGCAAAGTGAGATGAGATTTAAAATGTAGTTCATCTTAGTTACTTCTCGTGTTTAATCCATTCTTTGCTCCAATAAAAGCTATTTTTTTCTCATCCAAACTGTAGCAGGATTACCATGTTCAAAGCAAAGCCTTAAGGGATGCTTACAAGTAAATATAACTGCCTCCCCCATGTAAAGAATGATTTAGCACAGTTAGCAGCATTTGAAACCACACATATGTTGCCTTTGGCTCATTCTTCTCTCTAATTCAATAAGATTTAGCAAAGGTTATCTCTACAACACACATTTTTAGGAGTTATTTGGGCTCTTCCTCTTCCCTTCCCTTCATAAATAAGTCAGTCCTAGAGGTGAAATAGAGCAAGGTGGCCCATGACTTGAAGTGGGCATTAAGAGTTTGAATGGGGTGAAGAAAGAATCCACACAGAGGAGGGGAGATCACAGCAGGATATCAGAACCCAGACAGGGTGAATAAGGTTACCACATGGTGGTGGAGGGGATTATGACATGGTGACTTAGAGCCCAGATAGGGTGAGAAGGGCATCTAATGGGGGTTGTGCAACCCAAAATGGGCAGTTCAAGTCCTTGTGGGGTAAAGAGGATATCCATATGTTGGAAGGTGGCCTAGTATGAGGTATCAGAGCCTGGGGAGGGTAAGGAGGGAATCCACATGGGGAGGGAGAGAGGCAGATATAAAAGATGAGTTGCCACAGGGTTATGGGTCAAACAAGAAAATACATCCATGATAATAGGATCCAGGCTTCTTGTAGTTGGAGAAGGGAGTTGCAGATATTCAAATGAAGGGAACAAGAATGAACTGTTCTGGTATGGAATTGGAAGTATTTGTATGGACTCATAGTTTTCAATATATAGATAGATTTATAAGTATTTGTAAAGTGTGTAATAAACAGCTGTAATATGTGTAGATATATTTTGCTCTTTATCTGAATATACATAGATATAGATATAGTTTTTGCCATTACTTTTAGTGGCAAAAACCACAATTACTTTTGCACCAATCTAATATATCTATATCTACATCATCTCTATCTATCTCTATTTATATAGAGATAGAGAAAGAGTAAAAGTAATGGCAAAACCTGCAATTACTTTTGCACCAACCTAATGGATTTAGACTCTAGCTTCCCTCCTGAGAGAGAGTAGCAGCAGCAACATCTAGTTATGGACTGAATGTGTCCCCCAACAATTCATATGTTGAAGCTCTAACCCCCAAGGTAATGGTATTCAGAGGTGAGGACTTTGGGAGGTAATTAGGTTTAGATGAGGTCTTAAGGTTGGAGCCCACATGATGTGATAAGTGCTCGTACAAGAAGAGGAAGAGACACCAGAGCATTCTCTCTCCCTCCATGTGTGTGCACCAAAAACGGCAAGTGAACACAGAGAGAGGATGCGGCTGCCTACAGGCCAAGAGGAGCACTCTCACCAGGAACCGAAGCTACCGGCACCTTGATATTGGACCTTCCAGTCTCCAGAACTGTGAGAAAGAAACGTCTATCGCTTAAACCACCCAGTCTATGGTATATTGTTATGGCAGTTCAAACTAAGACAATCCTAATAATAAGCACAGCTATTGCCCATATCTTGACTTCTAGATGCCATTCTCCACTAAAAGAGCCAAAGTTCCTTGAAGAAATGGCTGATTTCAGGGCCGGGACAGGACAGGAAAGGGGCAATTAAAAGTGGAAAATGTTTTGAAGCAAAAAGCAAGGAAGTACTACAAAAAATAATGGGGACATACCAAATGGGCCCAAAAGTCAGCTTGAAGGAAACCCCATTGGCCTAATCTGGGAAAGTTTGAGAATCATAATAATAAAGGCAGTAAGGGAACAAAATGAGAAATCATGAGCTAAATAACAATTAAAATTTTGATGAGGAAGGGTATTTACATAATTTCAAAGTTCTTTCCCACAAAGTACAGTTGAATAATGAAGGCAAAATGAGTAATTTACAATGGGAAAAGCCTGGCAGATGTCACCTCACTCAAGTGATCAGTTCCAATGATATTCCATCACAGTGGGATAAATAGAAATTTTATTCCATTTAATAAGATGAAATGACAAAACTACATCATTGTTCTTGTTCTACTTCTAACAAAGCTGCAAACATGAATCTAATAATGAAGAAAAAAACAAATTGAGGGACATGCCGCAACAATAATATCCAAAAGTCTCAAGGTCATGAAAGTCAAGGAAAGACAGAGGATCCGTTCTAGACTGGAGGAGCTTAGAGACATGACAACTGAATGTTGTGTGTGGTCCTAAACTGGTTCCTTTTGCCATAAAAGACTAAAGTTACAGGGACAATTGGCAAAACTTGGGTGGAGTCTAAAGATTAGATGCTATCATTGCTAATTTCTCAACTTTGATAGTTTGTTGTATTTATGTAGAAAATATTTTGATTGTGAGAAATATACATCAAGGAGTGAAACAATAACCTGTTGATTCAGGAAAAAAATATTTTTATAGTAACTCCAGCTTTTCTATGAGTTTCTGAATAAATTAAACTTAAATAAAAGAGTTATTTGTTACTGGAACTGCAATGCACTTTCATTTCAAGTCACTTTTTTCTTTAAAATTTGGTAATGGCCACAGCCACAATCCTGAAGTTATCTACTAAACATTTTAATAATTATGTCCAAGTTGGAAATGCAAGTTGTCCAAAAAGACTTAATTTCTTGTTTCAGTCAACATTTCCTATCTTCAACCAGAGGGACTAAAAACTTAAAATTTTAAAATGTATTACTCAAAATCAACAAAGCCATATAAATGTAAAATAAATGTAAGTCATTACACTTTTAAATAAAGTTTGTTTGAAACTTTTATATAAAAATTTGTAGCCTTTATACTTCCAAAAGTATTCAATCTTACAATTTCACTAAGACTTTTGGGAAGACCTTTACATATACATGGGTGAATCATGTAACTTGAACTTATTATGCCAAAACTTGACTTAGTCCATGCTACAGTAATAGCTAATAATATTTTACCATTTTATATAATCAGTGATAAACAGTACACATCTAGAAGTATAGTAAAGTAGTCTTCCCTTAGCTGCAGTTTCATTTTCCACAGTTTCAGTTACTCAGGGTCAACTGTAGTTCAAAAATATTACATCACTACCCTGTGTTTTGGGGCCACTATTAAGTACAATAAGGGTCACTTGAACACAAGCACTGCAATACTGCAACAGTTGCTCTAATCGCCAAGGTGACTACATGGTGACTCATTGCCATCCAGTGGGCCGAAGCAGGAGGGCAAGAGATTTCATTGCACCACTAAGAACAGTGCACAATTTGAAACTTAAGGGTTGTTTATTTCTGGAATTTTCCACCTATGTCACAATACCTGTGTTATTGCCCTCGCTTCATCCCATCACGTAGCCATTTTACCATTTTACATCATCACAAGAAGGGTGAGTACAGTACAATAAGATATTCTGAAAGAGAAAGATACCATATTTGCATATTTTTAATTACAATATATTGTTATAATTGTTCTATTTTATTGTTAGTTA